CGGGGTAAAACCCCGTCACCGAGCAAACCAGCAGGTGGGGGTGGGGGTGGGGCTGGGACCCCGATTTCGTGGGGGAAACTTTCACCTTGGGCTGAACTGGAAGGGACGGGAGAGAGCTGGAAAAGGGGTGAGAGACGGGAGTGGGACTCAGAGAACAGGTTCCAGCTCCAATTCTTACAGCCTTCCAGGGAAGAGGCTGCCCCAGTGTGGGGATCTCTGCTCACCGGGGGGCTCCGTGCAATGAGCCAGGTGGGTTCTCAGCACTGTCAGTGTCACTAGCAGAGCCCCAGCCCCCAGGGCTGCTCCACAGGGAAGGGGACAGGGAGACTCACCCAGACTGAGAACTTCTCTGCCCAGCTCTGAGTACCAGCCCCGGGACGCTGCTCATCACCCCGGGGGGCACCTCCAGCCAAGGGGCCAGGCAGCATCGGGGCTGGGCAGTATCACCAGGGAGAGCTGGGCTCAGGTGCCCCCTTCCCCGAGTGTAGTGGGGAGGGGAGCGGGGGGGGACACAGGGTCCCAGCAGCCCAGCTGGCCCAGGGTCAGGCAGGGACAGGGCAGGATGTGAAGGGAAGCGGGGGAGACGCCAGGCGGGTTAGGTTAATTTAACCCTTTTGCTGCTGTCTCTGCCTGATCCACTCGGCCCCTCGAGAGCCACCGTGCAGGCGAGGGGCACAGACCCCTGGGCAGAGGGGGGCCCCAGCGGATGGTGTAAGGGCGCCGCCCAGTGGACAATCCCAGGAATGAAGGTGCTGCCCCTGTCTGGGAAAGGCTGGCTCCTGCCCTAGACGCAGAAGGGGCTTCTCCCCTTTCGGACTCCTAGATCCCCAGGCGGGAAGGGACCATTGTGACCGTCTAGTCTGACCCTGTTCAGAACTGGGGCAGGCCTGGCTGGGCTGGGGGCCGATGGAGGCTGGAAGCCCGAAGTCTGCCCCCCCAAAACACCCCCAGGCACCAGCACAGCCCCCGCACCACCCACAGGGGATTAGCCGCTGGGCCAGAGGGGCCTGTGCACAATTGGGGGATTCCAAAAAAAGGGTTCCCGGGCCCCGACCCAGCTCCCCGCAGGCGGAAGGGGTGGGGAGGGGCCTCTGGCAGCACCACGGGCTCGCGGCACCGAACAGCCCAGCCGGGGGTAAGGGCGGGTGCCGGGCTGGTCACAGCCACAGCGACTCGCCTGGGCCCCGGGCAGTGGTTAGTTCCCAGGGGAGCTGAGGGGACCCCCCTGGCAGAACACGCTCACACACAGACACACACAGACCCCGCGCTGGGCACAGGGGCCCCCCAGACCCTGCGGGGGGGTGGGTATGTGTCACATCTGGGCTGGAGGCTGTACAGGGACTGGGCCCCGGGGCAGCCGCACACAGGCGTGGGGGGGCCTTTAAATTGCGCCCCTCCCCCACTGTCAGCAGGCTCCCGCGCACCCCCTGCCAGCTGCAGCCGCCCGCAGGCCGGGGAGGCCGGGCCCAGCCCCGGGACCTGGCGGGGGCTCGCGGCGCTGCACAGCTGGGGCAGGCTGCGGGAGGGGCGGGGCCGCGTGAGCACGTATGCAGATCTCCATGCGAGCGGAGCATTGTGGGAACGGGACCACGCTGACGAGCACGGCCCTAGTTGACCGTGCGGGGCTCGGTGGTGAGAAGGATCCGAGCCCGGGGCCTGTCGCAGCAGCTGGCGGCGGTCGGGGCCGGTGAGGGTGGGGCGGGCGGTCGGTCCGAGTCGGGCCCCACCGTGTGTTGAGAGTGTGGGGCGAACGAGGGCGGGCGGCGGCCGGGGCGAACCAACTCATACTTACCTGGCAGGGGAGATACCATGATCACGAAGGTGGTTTTCCCAGGGTGAGGCTCATCCATTGCACTGCGGGTGTGCTGACCCCTGCGATTTCCCCAAATGCGGGAAACTCGACTGCATAATTTGTGGTAGTGGGGGACTGCGTTCGCGCTCTCCCCTGGCGATTGGTGAAAAATAGACAAATAAACCTTTTCTTGGGTTGTTTGCACTAATGTGTTGAGTATTTC